TAATTGTGTCTGAATCACACTCAAGTCTTTCTTACTTTAAGGCAAGAGCTGGTGGTGACTCTTACAATTTACTTTGCTTAATTTAATTAATGTTCCCTTTTATAACTTCTGAGCTTTGTTTCTGGTAGAACAAACAGATTGGCTTCTAACTACCTCAGAGAGTCCACTTTTCCCAGAGAAATTGGCCTGCCTGTGGCAAAACCTGAGACATGTCAGCTGGACAGCCCTGTCTGAGCATGGAGAATGGGGAAAAAGGGAAAAAAAGGGTCATTTACATGGAAAGCAACACAACAGATGGTCACATGGAGACTCCTCCATAAGTTTGCATTTGGTAAAAAAAAAAAAGACACATCCTGCAGTTAAGTATTTTTAGCATCTCCAAGCGTGGCAATATTTTGTCCTTCTCAATAAGAGGTAATCATATAATTTCATTCTTTTATGCTTTACTGCTTTACTTCCATTTGGCTGCTTTTCTGAAAAACGACAGGGTTAAAACAAATGTCAGGAGGGACCAGCCAGAACTAAGAAAACCATGTCAGGAGAAATCAATTTAGCTCCATTCTGTATCCATATGGATTTTTCTGCTCCTGTATCTCCTAATATTCTCAGGAATAATTCATTTGCCACCACTTCACCCAATATAAATTTCCCCCTTTTTAGTTATTCCCCTTCCTTTTAATTATTATTATTTTAATTTTAATTATGTCTTTTTAAGAAATTGTGCTGAGTGTGCCTAGATATATACAGACTCATGTCTTTTGGTTTTTAAAGAAAAAATCCATAGTTTGTTCTGGAATGGTCACTTGTATAGATTTTGTTTTTAAAGTACAAATAAGTTCCGTTATTTGACTGAAATCAGAAGAAAAGCTGGAAAGAGCTTAAAGTCTGACTAAAGGCAGAATGCATCATGAACTCATACCTGCATTTTTTCTCAACTATATACAATATTCAGTGATTCATTGTTCACACAGGTGCTTCAGGAAAGAAATTGGGATGGAAATAAATACATGGAAAAAGCAAAGTCTTTCTGTAATTCATTTGCTCCATGAACACAACAGTTCCATATTTTATCACCATGACAGTAGGCATTATTTTATACTTAATTTATATTTAATATATTTAATTTATAAGATTTCTTTCTGAGGCACCTGATAGAGGTTTTGGGTTTAAAATTAGTTTTCACTCCTTTTCAAAAAAAAAAAAAAGACTAAACAAAAACAAAACAAAAAACCCCAAAAACAACACCCCCCCCAAAAAAAAAACAGAAAAAAAACCAAACACACAAAACTGAGAAGAACTTCTTGTCCTTTGCAACTAAAAATGCCAATAACCTAAATCTAAACTAGGCTTTGGGAAGCCATTCTAGTGACGCGCTGGATATGCCCAGTAGTGTCTGTTTTCCTCCCAGACAGCTGAGCTTCCAAATCCATGGGTTTAGTTCCTACTCCGGGTTTTGGAGCCCCTGTGTCTGAGTCAGTCTGGAAACCAGTTCCCACTGCCAGGTTATTAACGTGGAGATCAGCACACAGGGCAATTAAAGAAAATAAAACTAAACACCACAACATAACACAACGGGAGAGAGAGGACAAGGAGGGGTGGGTCAGCTGAGTTTTTCAGTGTGAGGAAAACAACACATGTTTTCCCTCACCCAGACTCCAAAAGAGCTGAATCATTTTGTTTTTCCGAACAACAGAGATGCCAGGCATGGAAAATTTCAGTTCAAATTATTCAAATCTGGCAAAAAGTAAAGCGTGAGCAATTGAAAATAGAGGAAGGGCCAACACACTGAAAGGAGCAATTCTACCTGCAGTGCAGCTGGAAGATTGCTGCTCCTTCTGCAATCCATGGGATGTAGGCACATGGATTATCCAGGCTGGTCTGGGACAGCAAAGGCAAATCATTAAGGATGCCTGCGACACAAACCATCCTTCAGGTACAACTCACTGTTGAAAGGTGGCACTAAATGCCACCTCAGAATAGCTGTTCTGTGCATTCAAACAATGTTATAAAAACATTGACTAATTATTAGCACTATTAGCTAAAATAGTGCTTTATTGCCCATTTGAATTATTCATAGGGAGCTGCTGATCACTAAAATAAAAAGACCTGATAAATAAGGTGTATGTTCATTTTAACTTACACTTCACTTCAACAGCTTGTAAACACTGCAAAACTCAGATTTCTTAGCTATTGGATTAATATTTGCTAGATAGGCAATGAATTATTTTACGTTAACATAGAAGCACAAAAACTATGTGGAAAACCAAGTAGCTTGGACAGTGATGGGATACCATGGATTTTCTGAAAGGATATTTCTGAAGGTTTCACTAATGAAATAAAAAGTAATAAACAGCATGGCCCAGCCAAGATGAGCTGAGAAAGTGATTAATAAACAGAACTGGCAATATATTATAACGATGTGGCACAGGTTTCATCTCATCTCAAATTACTAAAAATGAAATACAGGAAAATTTCTGCTGACCCCACGTTCTGCAGACATCCAGCAATGGGTGACATCAGCTGTACCCAACACTGATTGCTGACTCGATGCACCCCTGGAATGGGTCAGGACAAAACACATCCCGGCACAGGCAGCTACTGCAGGGTTAGATACTTAACTGGAAAATACAGACAAACTTTCTTGTGTCCTCGGCACCTTGTAATGCCATTCCAACACTAACTCTGCTGGACTCTGAAAAGGCAAAAAGGACACCCAGATCTCAGGTGTGCATGGTGTGGGATCCCTGAATTAAGTGGCACAGAATTCAACCCAGATTAGTTTTCCTTCCTGCAGTCTGTTGTATCTACGCTTGCTTTAACAAACGGTGTGATTTAGTGAGACGTGAGACATTTATTCTTTTGGTGGCAAAGTTGCACCACATTCATTGGACACTGATGCCTGATACAAACTCTGCCACTCATTTTCAAGAAACAAAGCCTTGGCAGGCCTTGAAAACAGCACACAAATTTCTCTATGTGTGGATTCTGTTGTTTTTACAGAATAGCACAGCTTTCATATCATCCATTTTCCAAGCAGCAACTCCAAAGAATCATCCTTTTAGGTTGTTGAGAATGGGACATAATGGAGGTGACTCAAAGGAATAGATGCTGCAGCTACAACCACTCTCATTATGTACATATGAGATGCCTCGATGTTCCTGCCTGCTGATTACATGAGCAAACATTTTTAGCATGCAAAATCCTATTAACTCAAGGGGATTCTGCATAATTTTATAACAGCTCCACTTGTGGTGTTTGATCGACTGGGTCAGCAACAGACAGATGGCAAAGAATTAATTCTAAGGCTGCTTTATTGCAGTGCTGGCATCAGGGTTTCCTCTATTCACTCCACTCGGATAAAATTGAACTTTTTCTTCATTCCCTGCACCTTTTTCTCTTCAAAGAGCAAGAACAAGAATGTTGGGGCTGTCAGCACAAAGAAGAAGACAAATGAAAACTCTTCTGTGTGACATTTACCCTCCCCCCAAAATCCTAAACCAAAAAAGAAAGTTAACCTCAAAAACATCAAGTAACAAATTAATCTAATCCAAGAGATTACCCTGGAACACATCCCTCCCATAATTAGGGTTTTCTCTTGCTCCATTTTTTTGATCACTTCATAATTCTGAGGTACAGAGAAAAGTATTAGCCAGTACTTAGTGAATTTGTGCTTAGCATATATTTACATGGAAAATTATTTGCAGTCTGAAAATGGTGCCTAAAATTAAATTATTAATGCACCATTTCCCCAATTTGAGGAAAATGGTCCCAAAAGTAAACAACAATCTAGCTGGGATTTGCAAGCAGAACTCTTAAGCTCTTGAGATGCAGAACTTAGGCCCAGAAAACCTTCAAAATATGGAGGGAATTAAATAGATACAGAAATATTTGGCTGAGGTTCTTTCTGAAAGCCCTGTAACTACATGCAAATTTGGAGGAGTTAACTCAGAGACCCACATGGATCCAGCAAAAATTCCAACTGTTTCACTTATCAAACTATTGTTCTTTGAATCCTCTGCCAGCATTATCCAAAGTGGGTCAAAAAGGTAATGGGGAAGACACACCAAGGAAAGATAAATCAGGATTTCTTTTAGTTGAAAAACTCCCAGGTTTGGGGAAACGGCCCACTCCTATTTCACCATGGCACAAGTTTCTGTTAATGGCACTGTGCCATCATTCTTCCAGAAACACAAAATTTTGTAACTTGAAAAAATTCTTCTGGTTTTTGTTGTTTTGTTGTTTTGTTTTTTTTAAAATTACAGTTTCCATCCCTATTTCTCACATGTCTCTTTGCATTAGGAATGTTTCTCTGACATCCAGGCTAATTAAGCCTGCTTCAGAAATAAGGACTTGAGGTTGTCAGCCATACCTGACAACCCTTCGGACAAACAATTCTCTTCCATTTGAATTTTTAATTAAGCTTACTGAGAGTGCTTTCATATCAGAAAATGGGGACAAAATTTTGACAAATCCAAAACAAGACTTCCATTTTCTTTTGGAGATAATGGATGGCAGCTTCAGCCTCTAACGCTGATGGTGCATTGAGTCAATCCCATCTCTGAAACTTAGCCCAGCTCTTTGGCCTTACATCCAAGGAAGGAGGAGCTTCTTTTTGGCTAAATCAAGAAAGGCCAAGCAAACCAAAGTGCCCAGACAATCCTTGGATCACTCTTACATGGATCTTGGATCTGTCTTACATGGGACTGGAGATCAGCACAAAGCAAGGCACATCTGACTGCAGAACACCAAGGGTTTCATCTTTTGTCACCAACAGCTCCCAGAAGTCTCAGACTCATTAACCATGTCACCAGAGGGTGTTTTCCTCTCATTTCTAATTATTCCAGGACATCTTCACTTAGTGACTTAGATAAAACCCGAAGTTTTTATTCACTCACTCCACACCTGTGTTCAGCCTTGCATGGTGTGACTTCTCCCCAAACCCAAGTTCACATGATGTTTTCTTCACAATATTTCAGGGGGAAGAGGTATTTCCTTTTTACCTGAAATGGAGACTGGCTGTTGTAATTCTTGATCTCCTTGTTGGCTCCTCGGAATAGCAGCACCCTTGCACAGCTCTCCTGAAAATGATGGAAAAGGAAACTTGTTCATAAGGATCCTTTAGCTCTTAAGAGACTGTGACTGCTAAGAGGTTATGAGGTGTTTGGTCCATATCTTCACGATTAACAAATAAACCAAATAAAGTATCTGAGAACTTAAATTGTTAAAACAGCATTTTTAAAATGACAGGGCTTCAGGTGCTTTGCAATGTATTAGAAACACTAGGCAAGTGTCAAGAAACATGCAGGAATGCAAAAAGTAAATGTCTTATTAAACTTTTAAGCAACTGTACTGACAAAGTTCCATATTTGCACAAATTTGACTCTCATATGGGTTCTTTGCCTGTTTTATAGGAAAAACAGTACTATTCACAGAACTGGGATGAATTATATCCTTCCCTCCTGCTAAAAATTAAACAAAGCAGTCTTACCACTTATTTTGCTGGGGACTTTTTTCCAACCTATCCTCAATATTAAATGTATGATTTTTTTTTATAGTACACATGAAATTATTTGATCTGTCTATACACACTGCACTGAGCAGCCTTATTGCCTTTCTTTTCCCCTAAAAAATGCTAGCAGTTACAGCAAAAGGAGGAAAATTTGGCTTCAGGCCCTCCAAACTGAGAAAATCTGCAAAGGAAATCCTTAAAAACAATTTATTTTGGGCCAGTACAGTGCATTGGTTAAATCATTGCTTAACATGGCTGTTAAATATGACTGACCACAATCTGGTGGAAATTCTTGGAGGTTCTGAGTGGATTATCAGAATTTTTGATGATTCCTGTAAGGAGTCTTCTTACTTGTCATCTTTAATGTTCATCTTAGGGTCTTATGCAAATCAATTCACATTTCCAAAGGGTTTTATAGTCCCTTGTCTTAAATATTGTTCTTCATTTTGTTGTGCTTTCTGGGTTGTCTCGATGTGTTATAGAGCTCTATCTAATGAGGTATTTGGATGTGCTACCTTTCACTTTGAACAGTAAATTTGCAGTCAGAAAAGACAAAGTGCATAATTTAGGTATTTTAATGACAGAAATGAAGCTCATTTACTAGACTCTGAGTCACAAGTTAATTTGCAGAGATTATGATTGAAAACAATTTCTGTTGTGTTTTGTAATTCCCCACAGTAGATTCTTGGTCCCATTAAGTCTCCCCATCACAGGGCTGCCCTAAGTGCATCTGGAAAGGAGGTTATCCTACCTTTTCCTCAACTGAAAAACAACAGAATGGATCAAAATTAACAATCATTTCTTAGATTATAATTTTTAATGATATACAATTAACTCAGTCTCATTTGCTTGCACTGCAATCTGAGCTTTAGTTGTTTTCTCTCTATCTCTAAACAATTGATCAATGCCCAATTTTAATCAAGAACTTGAGAATATAAATAATTACATTGAAAAACATACTGTATTTATTGGGTGATTATTCATTTGTTTATCAGAATAAATCATCCAATATTACAACACTAAAAGAATGATACATTTAAAAACTGTACAAATTTAACTGAGCTGTCTGCAGTGTAACAAAAACATGCAAAGGGATTTATTAACTAAATGGTTGTGATTAGAAAAGTTTTGCCAAAATCCATCAAAAAGCTGTTCAACATTAAAAAAAAACCCAAGAAAATTTATTTGGGTTAAGTACTGCATTTTTAATTTTTTTAAATTTATTTTTAGTCTTTTACAAACAGAAGCATTCTTAACTTCATGTTTGCTCCTTTTTCTTTCCTCCCCCTCTGTTAGATTATATTCAATTTTAATACTACAACAGTTTTTGTCTCAGATCCAATCCTCCCAGTGAAAGGGGGCACATTTCTTTCCAGAAAAAAACAGACTTACTGCTTGGCCATGGAATAACTTTCAAAACCAAGAGTTTATTCAGATCAGGACTTCTCTGACATCCAGGAAAACAAATTTACTGACTTCAGAAAGTAAACCAAGAAAATTCCCCAGGGAAGACTGGAAGATGAAACGGGTAACGACTCCATCTGCAGGAATCTGGAGGTAACAAGGATACTGCTCTCCCGCTGGAAGAGGCTCCTTACACGTGAACCAATAACAACTTTCCATAGAAAACAAAGAACACTGGCAAAATCAGCACAGGTTCACAGCACCCCGAAGGAAACTTTTTATTTCCACATACACTGGATGAAGAAAAACAGAAGGACGGCAGTGCAGGTAGAAGATGTTAAAGTTCCATTCACCAAGCCAAGCTTAGTGATTGTGTAAATATTTGAAAATTTGTAGATGCAATTTCAGTTAGAATGTCTAAGTCTCCTGCAGAATAACTTCTTCTATTAAGGTCAGGAAAACACATCTCATCTCTGCATGAAAAACACTGTCATTCTATGGGATTATTCTAATTCCCACCTCATACTGCATAACCTTTGCTGAAAGTGTGTGATCCTGAATTTTTCTTTTTTTTTTAAGCTGAGAGTATTTCAGAGCTAATTGAGGAATCTGTCTTGACAAGACTTTAGAAAGAAAAACTAAGATGGTGATTAATTAAGAAGCAGATGCTTTAACAGATGTTTCACTGTTTACAGTCACATCTCATGCTTTCCAGATTCAATGTAATATTTTATGTGCTGAATTTTAACACAGTTGTTAAACTCATTCCCTCCCCATCCCATCCCTGCAAAGAGGGTATAAAATGCTATCAAATCAAAAGGTTCTACTACTTGTAAATGACTACACAAGTTGTAAACAGCAAAGAATCCAGTATCTTCTGTATAGAGACATTTCCACATTATTTCACAGCTCTATCTTATTTAATTCCAAATTAAATTATAGAATAACAACAGTAAATTCTGTATAGGAGACAAATATTTAGATATGAAGCAAACCAAAAAAAGCTGTTTTCTTATCATAATGTTTTCTTTTCTAATATCCATACTCTTGCTACCTACAATGAGCAGCCTTATTTGTAATCAGTGAATGAAACACCAAGAAAATAATTTTAATTATCTTCTTTCCAGTTTCTAAGACCACTTTTTAAAACCTGAAGCACTTCATTGTACATAAAATAATGTAGTGATAGGATGAAAGGGAATGGCTTCAAACTGAAAGAGAGGAGGTTTATTTCAGACATTGGGAAAGAATTCCTCCCTGGAAAGGTGGTGAGGCGCTGGTGAAGTTGTGGATGGCCCATCCCTGGAATGTACAAGGCTAGGTTGGACAGGGATTGGAGCAATGAGGTGTGGTGGAAGGGGACTGGAACTGGATGATTTTCAAGTTCCCTTCCAAACCAACCCATCCTGGGATTCCATGACCTGCCAGCTCCTGCTGGAGACATTTCTGTCCCTGCAGGGGGCCAGCAGGGGCTCTTACCTGGTTGTAGAGGGCACAGATGTGCAGGGCTGTGTTCCCTGAGGCATTCTGCGCACACATGTCAGCACCGTAGAACAGGAGGTGCTCCAGGTGTTGGACGTGTCCATACCTGCAAGCCTGGGCAGGGATGCATCAATATTTTGGTTATTACACATCCTAGGCAAGACTTCCAGGGAAAGATTTTCAGCAGAGAATGTGCTGTTTTTACTGAGGATCTAATTTTTAGAACCACACCTGGTTCTCTGATGGGAGCACAGACACCCAGATGAGCATTCCTGCACCAATGTGGGCACTTCAGGTATAGCAGTACTGTGCTTGAGTTTAACCATCTGATTTATTTGGGAATGGCAGCCTAAGAGATCAAGAAAATACTGCCTTTGAAACTTTTTATCCACTAATGTTCATGACTCAAATGTTTTTTGTCCTGCTACACTCCAGAACGCTGCCCACCAGATGGCACTGAAGATGATCAGACTGCCAGAGATTTTCCCAAACTGCTTACACGCCTTAGAAAGAAAATCTGGCCAAAATCCAAGTAAATCTTCTTGGTTCTGTGATGTCAAGCAGACACACAGCATACACAGGGCACTGCTCCAAAACAGGGGAAAATCTTCAAGAATTATTTTATCTGTCACACAAATAAAAGGTTAGACCCTGGATTTTAGGAAATAAGCCTCTATGAAGAAGATTCATATAAATTAGAAACCTTCCTAATTAGCAAATAAGCTTTGAAAAAACACAGTCATTCTAGTCCTCAGCCTCTTTTACCTGACTTCCTTCTCCTCTATAACCCACTGACCAAGCAAGTCCCAATTTCTAATGTTTTGAACTTTGTGGTATCCCAGATCAGCATCATTCCTACATAAATCAGAATTTAAGGTAAGACATACAGATATATGATATAGAAATCCATTCAGTCTTTCTGAGGTACCTCATCACTCCTGAATTCAGTGGGAGGTACAGACTGACACTCCTGGCTTGGATTTACAGTTTGGAAGAGAAAAATTAAGTGAACTGCTCAGTGCACAAATTAAATCCCCATCCTTCTTAATTCATTGAGGAATGCTTGAATTATTGATTAGTCAAAACAGATGGTTACTAACTGAGGTGTAAACATTTATTTGTTTAGGATTACAACCAACACAGGTGGTTTGGAAAGCTCTATTTCATTAAGAGAAATAATAAGTTTATGTGCATGAGGCTGGGGTTTAAAAATAGGGACATTTTCTCTGTATTTTCAGGGAGTCCAGATGGGGTAATGCTTTGATCAAGACAATCCATTTTTTCCACTCCTCAGGAAATACAGTAACAAAATAATTCCTTTCTTTTCCCCTACTCTAGAGGTAGATCCAAACAACTTTGACCTGGACCCACTTAGTGAAAAAGCTCAGATTCCTGCCCAAATGTGGGTGCCAAAGTCACCTCCCATTTCTTTCCAAGAAAAGAAGAAAAAAATCTGTGTACTAAAGAATAGTGCACAGAAAATAAAGTGAGTCCAGATGACCCAGGCAGACCTGTAAGGCTGATTACTTGTATCTTTATTTATCTCATACTACAGCAGTTCTAATTTTTGTAATTATCCAAACTCATCCATACAGAGAAATGACAAAGTAGCTGCAGTGACATTGGGACTGTTACTGAGTTTATCACTATGCAAAGGGAAATCAATAAAACATTTTTACACTGCTGGGTAACATTCAGGCGTTTTTGGAGTGGACAGTGAGAGGCTGATGCATCCCAGCAGCAGGATCCTGAACTCAAATCTTCCTGTAAAGTTCAGCAGAGACAAGGGGAAAGCACCCTGACAAACACACAAGGAGCATTACCAAGGACACTGACACTGGCATCTAACCAAAAGAATGAGCTACATTTTCCTACTGAAGTGCCACGAACAGGAATCTGAATTTCCAAGAGTCCATGACATAAATATGTGCAATTTCTGCACCAAAATCCACAGTAACCAAAGGATTTCAAAGTTACGGAACGCCACTGGAACAGTTTTCTACTTCAAAGTGACCACAGCGGGATGCAAAGTGAATAAATAAAAAGAAGCAGAAAAAGCAAGATAGAAGAAGGAAGATATTTCATACTTGAATGTGCAGGGACTTCAAAATAGTGCTTAACCCTAGAACAACCTTGGCACATTTCCTCATGCAAGTCCAACAAAAAGCAAATCTTTCCTACCTGATGAATTTCTTGCCATCCATTTTCATCCTTGCAGCTGACTGTAGCATGTTCATGGAGTAATAGCTCACAGCAGAAAGGGTCCCCTCCCACCATGGCTGTGTGGTACAGAGGGGTCAGGCCACAGCTGTCCTTATAGTTGGGAGATGCTCCCAGCTCTAAAAGGGTCTGAAAGCAATCACAGACTGTGAAAAATATATTTGGGAGGGACTTCCACCTAGAAAGGGTATTTACCTAAAAAAATACCTGAGAAAATATGTATATAGTTGATACTTGACACAACATTTTTTGCTCACCTATTTATCAGCTGGTAAGAGCGGGCCACAGCACAGACTAAGTTAAGCAAGAAGACCTTGGAAGAATAAGTATCTAAAGGAATCTATGGGGATGGCACAGAAAGGAGTGTAATGTCCAGTTTCCATCCTCTCACTAAGTTCAAAAATGGCAGCTCTGAAAATGCTGCATCACCTTTGCAACACATTCACCTCTTCAGTTTCAAGGTGCTTTATATTTTAAAATGTCATGCAATTTGAGTATCTGTCAAAAGGGAATAAGCAGAAGCCATAAACCTAAGATTTAATCAAGACCATCAGTGTGATTTAAAAATACCTGTTAAAATACAAAAGAAAACAGAAGGCACTCTGTAAAGGCATAATGTGCAATCCATGCCACTGGAAGCTGCTTTCAAAGAGGTAAGTGACAATAATGTCATTCCTATTTCCTCAGATAGATCTCAGTATATCAATGAATAAGCTTAAATTTCACCACTTTTCTTCCTACCAGGAAAAGATAAATCAGAAATTAAAAGACTCATTATTGAAAGCAAATGTTAAGATTTGAAAGCCACAAGAAAGTAGTAGAACAAGCACATCTTAAAGGATCCATGGAGGACAATACAGTAATTAACTGAAAACAGTCTCCTTTATTCATTTTTTTTTTAAATAAGATAACACGTAATTTGCTCCTGAAAACGTTTACCTTGAGGGCTACTTGATTCTTGGCTCTGGCTGCTTTGTGCAGAGCTGTCATTCCATCTTTGGCTCTGAAGTCTAAATGTGCTCCTCCATTTTTCAGGGCTTTTATCACTTCTACTGTATTGTCAAGCTGAGCTGCCAAAGTCAGGGGTGTTTCTAAGGAAGAGAATATGGTGTACTTGGAAAAAGGTGAGCAAAATTATCAAATAAAGTTACTTTATAAAATAAAGTTAAAAATACTGCTCAAAGAAAAGCATAAAATTATCAGTTATCTCCTTTGGACAATAAAGCCCTACAGATTCCACTGGCTCGGAGTTGTGAAGGAATGTGTGAGATTCACCCTGTTAATCAATTTAAGTTTAACTAAATCAAGGTACTCTGTTATGCTGCTTAGTTTTGTTGTTCTCACCTCCGCTTTCTAAGTCATGATAGTTTGGATCCAGTCCCCGGTCCAACATCTTGGTAATTTTTTCCACAGAGAGATGGTGGACATGATCCATAAATTTTTTCAAATTGGCCTGAAACAAAGAGTGAAAAATTAATCGTCGTCTGATTTCAAAAATAAAATTTACACTGAAAATCAAGCATTCTGTCAACTGATGTCAACACCCACTGTAGGTAATTGCTAACTCTTGCAGGAAATTGGGATACCTTGGTGTGAAGCTTGGCCAGCTGCTTTTCATCAAGGTTGAACTGTTTGTACACTCTTTTCTTGTAGCGAAACTAAGGGAGGAAAAGAAGAAGAAATTTTAAAACTTAAAAACTTGAAACTCATAATATCATTTTCTGACCTTACCAGGAAGTATCATCCACAGTGAAGGTAAATGTAGGCAAAATTTCAAAAAATTTAGAAATAGGCTCAGTATTTCATATAGCTTTACATCATTTAAGCAAAATTCTTATCTTGTACAAATACACTGAGATCAGTGGAGGTGTGTAGGAAATGAGATCAGCCTCTAGAATCTACAGAAATTATCAAGAATTATACTGAAAAGAGCTTTTCCCCAAGGATTTCTGTGCATTTCATTTATAGTCTCAGGCAGAAAGAGCTGGGAAGGCATGTTAAATTTAAAAATATTGATTTCAAAATTGCAGCTTAGTATTTCTGAAATATAAAAACAAAAGAAAAGGATCTGAAAATCCCTTAGTCAGAGTAAGAAGAACTTCCACATGGGAATAGTTCTCCTGATGTTTAACAGGACTGGCTTTGTGAATGAGGTTTTGAGGATTGCCTTTTTAGCTGAAACTCAGTCACATTTCATCCTGAGCAGCTTGGGTGCAGTAGCAAGATCTGTAGCAAAAGTCATGGGGGTTTCCATAGCTATAATTTACCATTCTCTCATTGTCCCATGCAGAATTCCAGGAATGCAGCCTTTTGTTGGACAAGAGACTGCACTGAATGAAGCTCTAACACCAGTTTTCCACAAGATCACTTTTAACACCTCAATTGCTGCAGTCAACACTCGTGAAAAATGTCAGTAACAAAATAAAGTGTCTGTTTAACTTGCTTACAGCTGTAATGTGGTCATCACTGACTGAAACTCTGAAATAAACTCCTAGAAAAGGGAAGACCTGAAGCCTTCTCAGGACCTTGGTTCTTTTCTCTTGGATTTGTGTTATAGTGGAGTAAGTCTATTAACTGCACATTATTAATGGTTGATCTGCCACCATACAGGCAATAACAAAATTAATTAAATGCCAGTTTCATGCCCCAGTTTGCTGCTATATTGCGTGATCTGGCTCTGCTTCAAGTTTGTTCAGTGCCCTAAAAGCTCTGCCCAGCTTATCCCCAACTGCAGAGCCTCTGCAGGAGCAAAAGAGAGGGGGAAATCCCAGTACACACCCTCTCCTCCCTTCCTGCTTTCTCGGGAGACAGAGAGAGACAACCTGTGCGCTCTGAAGGACGGCACAGAGGGAACTAGATGGGGGTTAAAAAAGGCTTCACTGAGACAGAAAGTTCTCTTTGGGAGAAAACAAAGGCTGGTTATCCAACAACTGCTACACTGCTATTGCAAATCTAATCACAAATCCAACAGCTTCACCTAGAACCTTACGTTGCTTCATTAAATCACTGAATAACATACATATCCTGTGTCCTCAGCAAAGGAAAACTCCAAAATCCACTGTCCCAGAAGGGCTGACTCTTTGCAGCTTTTTGGGGATGGACCAGCTCCACAAGAAGGGATTGCCAGCACTTCTGTGAGCGAGGGCTTAAGCTCAGACTTGCTGATAAGCATTTTCCACATGCAATTCAGGTGCATGCAGACAGCTCAAATACAGCATTCTGCACAGTTTGTATCAGAATAGAAATGCTTCAGATGTTAGATCTAAAAATACCTCGAGTGAAGGAACTCCTTTATTGACTGGCTGTGGGTATTCCCTTAGAAGTCGCTCCTCATCCAAAAACTTCCCATCTCTCCCATTGCTTGCAGGCTGGAATAGTCCATAATTCAGGACATCTTTCAAACTCTGGTTCAAAGTGCACAAAATCCGCTGCTTTGCAATCCACACTGAAGCTTCTGGGTTAAATCGAATGCATTTCTGCAAAGAGAAATTATTTTAAGGAGCCCAATTAGTGAAAAAAACATTTAAACAGCATCTTACATTCTGAAATTTACAAATGTCATGAATAATTAGGAATATACACAATAAATATAGAAATTCCATGACAAAACATTGCTGAACAAGAATTCTACTTCAGATGTGAATTGATAATACCCAATGCACAAGTACTGTGAAAACACAGAGCATTTCAAGTCCTTCCACAAACATCAGGGAATACACATATCCTTCCTCAGAGAGAGACCATCTTCATGGAAAACCTGCTCAAAACGGATGTTACAAACTGTTTAACTATCCGCTTGATTCTCGGCTGTTCTAATATCAAATCCACCAAAAAAAAATGTTATCCAGGCAAGAATTATACTTCCCTTTTAGCTACATTTATCTGAGGGTAAGTTTATGGAAGGAATGATAGAACGTGAAGCAAATAACTTGAAAACCTTGACAAAATTTTCCAGTTCTCTGCTTCTTACCAAGCTGGAATTCAGGGACTTGAGGACTTTAGGGATTTTGCCTACACTGCAGTCACTGGTTCCAAGGTACCAGCAGATGGCAATGCCTAGAAAGCAATTTGGTACCTCTGGTGTGCATCCTGAACACACAGTGCTGTTTCTGCTTTAATCCTTTACAGACTTCAATATAAAGAGATATGTTAGACTTTGTCACAAGTAAGGCTGGCTAGGAAACAGCTTTCATTTCTCTTACTTATTTTATATTTCAAGATGTTTTGTGAAAAGTTGTGGGGGGGGGGTTTATATGTTGAAGGGAAGGAGAGAGGGACACAAGTATTTTCCTTCCCAAACACCCCAGCAGTTACAGTATTGACTGAGCAGTAAGGCCAATCTGTTTGAAATCCCTGTATTCCTTCTGAACCTCACTTGCCCCATGACTCCTACATGGATTCAAACTTCAGTACAAGATTCAGACTCAAACATCAGCACTTTTCAGCAAAACTGTCAGTTACAAGGTGCATAATGAGCTTAACTTCTAATGTTATCCACACATTATCCACACATCCTGAAAGATTACAGTGAGTTTTACTCAAATGGAAAGATAACATTTTTCTCCCAATAAAGTCTTTCTTACATGAAACAAACTAATTTTGGACTTGTATGACACTGTTTTGATTTTAAAAATACAAAGCAGCTACTTCTGATCACAGTTTAATTAAGTCTGCTGGTTTTTAATGCACCTGGAGAATCCAACATGTTCAGTTTTGTTCAGTCTATTCTTGTGTTCTCTGCTCTTGGTGGCAGGAAAATATTTCACAAACTAATCCAGTGAGAGCCCCAGCTGTTCTAGTGATTCATAAGAAACAAAAGTGGACTTATTGTAAAAAAACACTGATCCCATTAGCAATTTAAAATTAAATCAGATCAGTTATGTAAAAAGTAAATCAATAACTGGAGAATTTTTTGCTACCAAAATATTTTACACTGAGAAAAGTGAAACTAGTGAGAAAAGTGATTATTTATGCTTTCCATGGAGCCAGGCAGGATAGAAGTGGAGGTGGTACCAATCTCACAGAGGCAGGTGCTGCCCAAGAGGATAAAAAGGAACACTCAGATGCTGCATAAGGTGCATTTTCCATCAGCCTGTCCCTGGAACTACTCCACCGTGCTGCTTCTGTGTCTTCCTGGCAGCCCTCCAGGCAAGGAGCACCACAGCCGCCCCTTCTATCCTGCAGACAAGTCATTACTTACTGCCACACTCTGTACTCTGAGGAAACATAAGCTGAATCACAGCAGGACCTACACACAGGCTGCTCTAGTTATGAAATAAGGAACAATTCATTAGGCACACATGGTGTGGTGACCACAAGGAAAGGAGGCAGCAGCAGAGTCAAAAAATGGACAACTTTTTCTAATCTTCAATGACAAGAAAAAACAATTAAAGAATAGGGATAGTTTAGTGACAAGGAATTACAGAAACATGAAACAAATATGTTTTGCACTGACAGATACATTCACTGTAAAAAAACACGAAGACCAGGCAAAAAAAACCACAACAAAACCCAGAGTGGCTCAAAGTTACTGTCAAAACCACACCAGGCCCCTCAAAATGCAAGTGTAGCAGTAAGACAGCATGTCAGCACTGGCTGCTGAGATGCAAGGCCTGTGTTTGGGATGTGAAAGCTCCTTGGATCACAGGCGACACGGTCAATTATAATCTTGCATTCCTGCACACTGGTGAGAACAAGTCACTGAGTGAAGGGTAGGATGGGAATCCAGGGAAAATATAACTCCCCCAGCTGAAGGGAAGATATTAATTCAGCAGGAATAATGCTCATGATACAGAATGTCTAAGGGATAATATTTATCTGCTTAAAATCAATCAGCAAACACATCTTTCTGCTCAGCTGTCAATCACACAAACTGTGCTGTTACTGAGGGATAATGGTTTGTACAGCTGTCTCCAAAAATATGATTTCCAGGATATCAAAATATGAGTTATTCATTTCAGCTGGAGATGTTGATATTAAAGATGTGACAGCCAAAAAGTGGGAAACACAAATGAGAGTTAGGCATCACAGAAATAAAAGGGAGCAAGTCCCTCATTTTGGTTTGTGCTGTGTTCGGCTTGATTCTCTCCTGAAACACCGCTCTTCTTTATCAGACTGCACTCAGGAAACACAGAACTCATGAGGGAACAGGTCAGAAAAACCAGTCTGACCAGGCAGTCAGCAGATCACCTGCCCAGATCAAGGGCATGTGAACAGATATCAGCAGCAAAATGCTTCTTTTATCAAACTGAAGATAAAAACAAGGAAGAGCAAACAGAAAGCAGCAAGGAACAATCAGACACAAAGTGGGATACAGAAGAATTCTGGGAAAAGTTGCAAAAGAAAACCTGGAGTGTATATATGAGGCAGCACAGACTGGAAATAAGTAAAAATGAAGGCATTCCAAGGAAAAATGGGACTCAAACTGCTGTTGTGACAACTGGGCTCCTACTTTTTTAAGGTAAAAACCGCACAAAGTAAACGAAGTGTTTTATTGGAGAAGCAAAAGCAGTAAAGGAAAAGATTCTTAATCCTTAAAACCAACAAATAAAAAAGTAAATAAAGGATACAAAAGTATAAAAAGCAATGCAGAAACAGAACATCAAAATGTGGCTCCAACTTAAGATGTTGCTATACCAAACTGCCATGTACCAAACAACATGTTGCATGGAAAGTCCAATATCATTTTAAAAACTCCAAAAGCCAGGGGAAGGAGGAATCAGTAAATGCTCATTATTGCAGTGGAACAGCAGAACAGATGGGCAGAAAGTATCTCAGAGAAGTCTTCAGTAGACCCAAACCCACCTCAGCCTCAGAATTTAATAAAATTTATAGATCTGAGCATTTTGACTTTAAACATTACCCAGAGGAAGCACATAAGAACAGGGTAAAACAAAAGAGTGTAACAAACAACATGTGTTGACAATAAAATGATGAAAACATTCCTTAAAACAACTGGCTGATAGAACTGTTCTCAGTGTCTGTGGCAAAGAGCCACTCCAAGCACAAAACACCATTGCTGTCAGAGTTTCAAGCTAAAGAAGATTTTCTTGACAACAGCTCCTGAAGAGCCAGACTGATTTCACATATAGGCAGCATCAGTTGGGATTTGTTCCTACATGGGCTGGAAAACGAAATGGATACAAGATGACTGGGCCTGGATTCAGACCAAATAATATATGCCAGATAATACAGCCTTTTTACCCACTCTCCTTGAGACCATGGAGGGCTTTCCATGCTCTCCAGTCTCTCAGGAATTTTACTGAGCTCAGGAAATCTTTCAGTCTCTCACTTAAAATATTTTCCCCCTCATATGAGAAGGATGATACTTATTGAATACAGGTCATGCACAGATGCAATAAGAAATTACCATTTCTACCAAGCAGTGTTTTAGTAAGTTGGATTATCATCTGAACTAAGAAGTAGACAAAAAAATAATTTATATAAGAACTGAAAAGCAATTGTTCTTAAGGGCTCTGTATGAACTTGTCAAGGTTCACATTGTCTTCTAAGTTTCAAAGGAAAATAAAAGAGCAACAAGACAGACTTCCTACAATGAGTGGTAATTTATAAAGTTTTCCATGGCAGCACATCCTACTCATGGTGCTTGGTGCATATCTCATACTTGCAGTGAAATAAAGGCAGTTTGTACCACAGCCACTTCAGATGAGCACTCTGGAAACTGGGCTAAGGCTTTAAAGCTCCCCAGTGGGCTGAATTTTATCTAAACCCCTAAACTTGTCTTCCTTAGAACAAATATAGTCTTGATTATACTCCCTAAAAATCAAAAAAAGCAGAAAACTAAATTATGTTATTTCATACTTCTTTGATTAAACAGACTAATTTTAAACACCTCGTATGTTAAATTAATTATAATTATACAGGAAATGGGGCCTATGTTTGCTCTGGCTTGTAGCTATACAACAGCTCAAACTCTGGTGTTCTCCACAGTTTGCTCTGCTACATTTAATCCACCAATATTCTTGTTTGCTAACCTGAATCCAGGTTTCCCTTTCCTAAGAAACTAAGAGTTTGTGGGCTGATAAATTAAATAAGAAATACATCAGCTGCTTTAGAACTGCTTAAAATGATTCCGTTACTTTTCATGAAAAGTTTATTGAAAAGGAAAAAGAAATACAAAAAGTAAAGCAATAAAAATGAACAAATGATAAAATTAATTTAAAAATTGTCTTGATAGTGTCAATAAATAACTTATTGATCTAAAAACCAGAGAAATTAAATAAGAGGGCTTCAGGAAGCTACTATATTCCCTGTGGTTTTAACGGCAGAGGAAATGTAGCAAGGAAACCTAGTATTTCCCTTCCATTTCCATGGATCTATTCATTGATAGGGTCACAGATAGAGCAAGCTGGTAAGATCATCAAAAAAGACCTCCAGAACCATACCTGAGGGAACACTGTCAAAACAGCTCTTCCCTGTCAGGCTGCAGCCAGCTCATCTCTATCACTCTAAAAATGAACTTAATTAAGAAAAAAGAAAGAGTTCCATCTGAGATAGATCTTCGATGGCAGCAGGGCATGATGTAGCTCTTACATGTCAGCACAGAGTGATGTATATGGCTCACATCCATAAAATGGATCATCTTGGAAATTTCAAAAGACTGGTGCCACCAGTGAAAATCCGGACAGTCTTATGTCAATCACAGACTTATGAGAAGAGGACTAGAAAAGCCATATATATATATATATATAAAATACGTAATTTTTTGATTCATTCTTCATCTTCTGATGAGATTATGGATTCCTAAGTCTCTTTCTTTTACCCAAAATCTGTGAATGCAGATCAGAGAGATATTTTGTTTTATGAACATGGCTTTCATCAGGTTAACATATTAAATCCACCCTCTTGGAAGGAATGGTGACTTTAGTTGAGGCAACCAGTCAAATAAGCCACCGGGGTACGAAGCATAGACACTAAAATAAAACATTAATTTTGTCTGTAATATGTCAAAAAAGAAAGTAAGAAAAGGTAACAGATTGAAGCCAGCAAAACTAATCATTAATTTTACTTTGTTTAACTGAAGTGCACTCTGCCTTACCGTTTGCTGCAGGTCAGGTATGATAATTCGAATCACTAAAGTGTTGCTCTGACTATCTTCCATTCTGCTGCTTGGCTTTTCTGCAGTTGCTCTAATTGTGTCATAAATAGTTTCTTCTTTGGAGCTGTCTGATTCAGACTCAACAGAATAGTCAGAGAAGCTTTGTGCCATTTCATCTTCACTTGATGTGGGGCTACGAGGCATGTTAAAGTTCCTTTTCCTGCCAATACAAAGGAGAAAAATAAAAAATAAGTTACAGTTCAAGTCTTCAAAATGAATCAGCTACAATTTTTTTTTTTCTTGGAAATAACATGGATTTAACAAGGAAGTTTTATGGTTTTTTTCCTTTTATTTCTTTCTGTCAATTATGTGGGTAGGCAGAATATAAAGGAAATAAATCTGGCTACCAATTTACTAGAGAAGAGGAAGGGCAGGAGAAGGAAAAGAGATTAATAAAAAAGAAGATGATCTTCCTTCCAAGGTACACCCAACCTCCCAAAGGATCCAGAAAAAATAGCATAATTACCCAGTCCCGTGCTAACCAGCACTGCTGTAAACTGTACTAAGAGCCAGGTCTGGCTTTGAAGCCTCCTCCTCCAAGTGAAAAGACATTTCAGGGAATTAATGTAAATGCTAAACTAACATCACCCTGTACATCAAAAATCTGCACAGGGGAGGCTTTCATAAAAGTCAATATTCCCAAATAGTGGAACCAACCAAAAAATTAAATCCTACAGGGAGCCAAACAGACACATGCTGCTCTCTGGTTTGTAGCTCACACAACATGCCTTTAAATGAACACCACCCAAATCTGTCCATTATATGTACTCAGAGTTTAGAAGCAGTTTCAATCTGCAATATAGCTTAGGCTGAAATGAAAGTCATGTTTATTCCAGACTAAAGACATTTGTAATCAGGGATCTCACACTAAGAACAACAGAGCATTTTCCTTCTAGGCTTTTGCACCTAAGAAGAAAAAAGAGAAGAGCAATAGAATTTTTTTTTGTCCCACAAAACTATTACAGGATATGAAAATTATTATTCTATGGAAAAATAGAATGGAAGAAAATAGAATGGAAGAAAAGAGAATGGAGGAAAACATCTACAGTGGAAAAAAACTGAGAAGACCAACAATAAACTCTGCAGTGCTTGGACATCATATAATTTTTCAGGGTTAGGAGGCCAGAAAAATGTATTATTATTTTTCTTTTTCTCCTGTGAGTAATCTTCCAAGACAATTCCTCTGCTTTTTAATGCAAAATAAAAAATTCAGTTAAAAGAAAAATAAAATTTAATAAATAAATACATCAATGAAGAGCCATTCACTCTAGCAATTCCACTATCAGCTCACATTTAAATAGAGACAATATAGCAAAAGTGGAGCATGGAAGGGTGAAGTGATTTGACCAAAGTCACTCATAAACCAGGTGACTGTACTGAGGTATCCAAATGCACATTTTCTATACTGATCTCTCAGCCAGATCATAAAGTCAAACAAGAACAAGGGATAAAAGAACATTTTTTACCACTGTGTCCAACACTTTAGTTTAAGCCAATTTAGTTTAAGTCATTCCCTCTTCATTGCCCAGTCACTGTCCCAGCAGTGACTCCAGAGGAGGGACCAAAGGCTGCCACTGTCAATTCCCATTTTAAGGCATCCATATGTTGGCCGAGCAGTGGTGAGTCAGGCCTGAGGCTGGAGGTCAAGGACATGCACTCCCACAGCACATCACATCACATCCCCACATCATCAAGCCTTATTGTTGTTTCTGATTAAGGATAATTCCAGTGTTATTACCCTCAGCTATAATCACTAATGAAGACAAAACCAGTGCATTCAGAAATCTGAAAGCAAGCCAGTTCACAGCAGCTTAATGCAAGGCTCTATTTACAAAGGAAAACTCTGCAGGGAGTATTTCATTTTTTTGCTGCTTCACTGAACTGTAGATTAATGCTGCTCTCCAAAGCACCTTAATTCAATAAAAATCATAAACATTTCTGTGGCTTCTCTGTTTATCTGCCACTGCTAAAAGACATGAACCCAAAATACAGCAGGGCAATACAAAGAATTTAATAGCATAAGAGGTAGAGGCCAGTGAGTGTCAGCATTAAGACATAAAGACCATCATGTGGTTTGTCTGTCCCTAAAGCCAACTGAGAGTGCAATACATTCCAGGGCAGTGGATTCGACAGAGACCAGTAAACTGCAGTTATACAGCAGCCAAAAAAAGAGTTGAGTTAGGAGAAAAAAAGTTCCCCAGGTTTTGGTAAGAGGATTTTCATGCAAAAACTTCCCAGGAATATCTCATTCTAGAATAAGAAAGGGAAATCTCCAGCTGAAGAACCAGTTCCCAGGAATCAAGCCTTTAAGTTTAATAAATAGTGGGACAAAGAACTCCTTGGAAACACATCAACAACACACAAGACACCTAATCTTCTGGAAAATAATGCACAAGTAAGCACAGAAAGGATAATGAAAGTCTGTATCCACAGTGGCAAAATGAACAGGATATGGGCCCCACCAGCACAGTGGAGAAACAGATCATTAAAACATGATTTTTTAAACAAGACTATTTGAATACTAGAGAAACTGGCAATTTGTTTGGTTCAAGTTGTGTGGAGATGGAAGATCCCACCATTTGTTAACCAGAGGCACTGGCTTCCCACATGGAAGATAACTCTTTTAGGAACTGTTTCACTTTTGTCCCAAGGATATTCCAAAAGATTTTTCCACAACCAAACTTATTACATCAGGAAAATGAGGCAGGTTGCCTGGCTTACTAATTAATACTTGTATAACCCATGAAAATATTGCATCCCAGGTTCCTAATTCCTAGCTGCCAATTCATTGGTTCAATATGGCTGAAACATAGATTAGACTCATCATGATTGTCTGTGATGCCTTTTTTCCTTTTCTTAAAAAAAACCAAACCCAAAACCCAACAGATCATAGGATTCCTACAGTTCAACTGATTGTGTTTTGTCTGTGGCTGCTTTTGGTGTAGAGAAGTGCTAGGTGCTGACAAGACTCTCTGTAAATAAATAAAATCAGATGTCATTATCATCTTTGCAGTAAACACAAAATGAAACGTGTCACGCCAACAAGGTTTGTTCCACTTCATGTCCTCTGTCCACATTTCTCAACTCCTGGACACCAAGTGTGTCCCAGATCCACGCACTGTCCTGCCCTGGCCTCTGCACATCCCCTAAGCAAAGCAAGTGTAAGCTGCAGCTGGTTAAACACCCCTTTTGACACATGAAGGCCACAGAAAAGGAGGAAGATGAAAGAGTGAAAGGATGGCTTTAAGCTCCCCTTATTGCTGGACATTTCCCCCAGCACCTTGCCCTTTAGCTCAGCAGGAACAGCAGGATGTGTACCCAGCCTCTGGGGCTATGGCCAGGTGATGTTTCTCAGACCAACAGGCCAAATGAAAGAAGCAGAGCTCAGACTGCTGCCTTCTCTTTACAGATGCTATTTTTAGATTTGTTTTTTCTCTGTCCAGCCCGCAGCTTTCACAAAATCTGCTGGAATTTCTTATTCTGCCATTTGCTGCCACCACACCATTAAGGAGAGTTTGAAACAGTCCAAACCATGACCATCAAACTGCCTTTTTCTCTAAAAAATAATTTTTAAAAAGCCCTACAAGAACATTGTAAAAGGCTGGAATTAAACAGTGCACAGGATAACAAACAGGAAAAAATTCAACTCCCAGAGCTCACTCTCTGGGTGAAAGGTGTGCTCCAGAGAGCACAAACAGACCCAGCAGGGGAAAAACCCAGAGTAGCAACAGATTAATCTATCTTTTGGAGACTTAAGAGTTGCAATCTATCTGAACAACTTAGGCCATAGTGTACTCCAGCCAAACCGTCTAAAGAATTTCTTGTCAGACCCTCTAGAATTCATCAAGGTTGCTGAGACATAAATTATTCTAAAATAAGAAAGAAGAGACTGAGAAGCAGAAAAACAAGACCACAAGAACCAGATAACAGGGGTAATTAAACACCTGGACTCTGATCAATCATATGTCCTGAGAAGTGTGTGCTGAATGTGTGGACTAGATAGAGGCACCAATCAAGTACTGCGTGATCGTGTGAACAGTAGTTTTAGAATCTATTAATAAGTGCGTAATGTAAACAATAAATGGCTTCTGCGTAATCGTATTGGCTCATTGTTCAGAGGTCCTGAGCTTCTGCACTTAAGGTTGTTGACCATCACACAAAAGGAATTTAATAAACATATATGTTTACATTTATTTTTATCTTTGATATTGTAAACTTGATATGAAAGGGTTTAAAATATCATCGATAGGGCGACACACCGGACAGGGGATTTTCATTGAACATCCATGTAGTATCAGATAAACCCACAATAAAAACTATGTTCGAAAATCTTTGGCATAATTATAGCTCTGTATGATTTTTGTGGACCCTGCAAAGTACCAAACCCTCCTGGTCTTGTTTGTCCCTAAAACACAGCTGAGGTGCAAGAACCAAATGTCTTGTCCAAGGCCACCAAGGCCAGGTCTCAGAGCAAGGTTTTGAATTCAGGGGTCACTGGCTCCTAGTCAAGATAAGACCAATCTATTTTTATATAAACACTCATTTGCACAATAGCAGCCCTGTTGCCTGCAGGGAGAAGCTCTCCATACAGCTGCTGTCAGGCCAGTTACAATATCTGTGGGCACTGTCAAGGGCTAAGGCCATGAACCAGACTGTGAGCAAAGTTTGCTGGGAGAGGAACAGTCACTGCTAGAAAGAGGGATTTAGTAATTAACTCTGAAGGAAAACTATTCAGGAAAGGGATTTCTGTGTAAAACCAGCCAGAGCTCTCAACACTTGGATTCTGTGGCTTTATTCAGTATTATTTATATCAGCTCAAGAAGCAGCTTGACAAGGTACTAAATTAAAATGCTGGAGAAGATCAAACATTTTCTTTTCTAATTATAATGATTTTTTTTTTCTAAATGGACTTCAGACAGAACTGAAGGTGGGGGGTCGAGTCCCAGCACACCATGCATTTCACACCTCCCCATGGCTGGGCAGAGGTCATGCAGAGAAAAATTTGAATTGAAGACCAACTCCAAAGGGCAATTTGCAATTTGATGGCTTCAACCTCCCTCTGCACTCCAACTTTAAAGCTGGCAGTAACCAGCACTGCCTCCCCAAAGACAAGCTCACCATCCTTCTCACCCCAGAGCACTCCATGCTTGTTCCCAGACT